ATAGATAGTATTCCTTCTTACTGATAATATTATGTGAATGAAGTATGTACTCCTAGGCTCTCCTCTGGCAAAGTATTTACTACAACAATTTCACTATAAGAATTCGTGTCAAAATAGATGTTTCACACTTAAGATGAATTCAGAAGATGCAAAACGTTATTCGGGATTATTACCAAATTTCACAGCATTCCCTGAGAAACTAAAATTTCACCCTATATGATACGAACGGCTGGGAGGCTTTTAGTAACTTTTAACTACTTCTAATTATAGGTTATTTGTTAAGTACATGTTTATGAGCTAACGATTATGACTGTTTCCAGGGGCTTGTAGTCGTTGCCAGGTTCTATGGCCTAATTAGGTAGTGTTAAAAATTCTGATGTGAACGAGAACAAAGTTCTAAACCTACGAAGCTACTACGTTATTGGTTATTATTTATGCCTGTTATCTTCGATCGGCAGCCTATGCCGACCAGATAACTCCAACCAACTGTCATGATCTCTCCCTTCCAGTCTTTCCCAAATGATGCTCACTTCTCTGACATCTGACCCCAATTCTCAGCGCGGCAGTCTTCTTTGCCTCTTTCCCGCTTCTCTTAACTCCAAGATAGGGCTTGACTCTGTGCAGTTTGGTTTTCATAGTGCCACCGATCGTCTCGAGTGTCTCCCTAATTTCCTGCTCATATGAAAGCCAGTCTGTTCGCTGACACAATGGGTTCTTCCTCATGATGTCTGGCTAATGGATATGGAGAGTTTCTTCTGAATAGCTATTTATAAAAACCTGTTACTTTTTTCATGTTGGTTGTAATAGTTTTCCATGTTTCATCTCCCCACAATAAAGCTTTCAACGTTCTTATTAAAAATTCTGACTTTGGAATGCGTTTACGAGCTGTCCTCTAGACACAACTTTGCATTTCAGTCACTCGTAAGATTTCCACATGATGGTGATAGTCTCGTCAGGTACTCCATAATGTTAAGGGAGGTTCCACGAAACCTTCCTATCTACACTGTCGAATGCTTTCTCGTAGTTGAAGAGGCTGATGTATAGTGACGAGCTTCATTCAATTGGTTGCTTGGCGATGATCCGAAGTGTCGCAACTCGGTCGGCACATGGTCGGTCCATATGAAACTCGTTTTGTTGATCTTAAGGTTGGGTGTCCATTGAATTTTTTCGTTTGGTCTCGCAACACTGTTGGAAACTCTCTTGTACTGATAGTATTGTGATGCATCCGTAATTCTCGCACTCGATCAAAGTTCCCTTCTTTGGTATTCTGTTCAGGTACCCTTCTTTCCGGTTTGTTGGTATTTATTCTTCCTCCTAAATCTTTCCCAATAGAACGTAAAGCATCTTTTCAGTTACCTCTATATTTGGTTCTGTTATTCCGTCATTCTTGATTTGTTTGACTAGCTTGCTGATTTCCCCTGTTGTTGGTGCGTTAACATCTATACAAATGTCCGTGTGGGTTACTTTGATGTCCGGTGGGATTTTGACGATGGTCTATTCAAGAGCATTTCAAAGTGTTCTACCCACCTGTTCCGCTGTTCTTGAATTTCATTGATTGGCCTGTCATCGTTGTCCATAGTGATGTCTGTGGTTTCCCATATTGTTTTGCTAGCTCCGCTGCATCACATAGTTTTCTCACATTTTCTTCTCTTGCAGCTTTTTCTGCCGCAACTATCTGGTGCTCTTAATATTTTCGCTTGTCAGATCTGTAGCAAGTCTTCACTCGTTTGTCTATGTTCATGTATTAATCCTATGCCTTCAATTTCTTTGTTTTTAATTGACCGTTATTGATTGTTGTTTTTTGTTTCTTAGATCTTGTTCAAGGTATCTGTAGAGATCTCTTTATTAATAATTGCCTGTAGTCTAATAGATAACAATAAGGTTTTACTCCATAGCACACAATTTGGTGTCATGCAAGGGTTAGGTTTTAAATGATACCACAAACGTATGTGTAAACTCTCCTTAAGACAAAAATATGTACGCTTTGTAATTGCCCATCAACTGACATCTACTAATAGGCTCGTTTTGATACTTTCAGTATAATGGTGTTGAAGGAACTTATACTTTATCTCCTCTTAGCCACTCCTACTAACTGATCTTTTGTTCTTCCAAGTTCGTATGATCAATGTGTAGATTAGTATTTTCCCATATCCAAGAACTGTCTTTTACAATCTATATACAAATTTCAATCAAGTTTTTTGTTTCCCCCGGATGATGTTTAAATCATGCACTCCTGTGTTATTGATGTAAGCTGTCTATGTTTTTGTTTACAATAGCACTTGAATTTTCGAACCACTGATGATATTTCACAGGGAAGCTTGTAATTATCCACTCTACAATTAATATCATTAGCTTTATTTATCTAATAAGGTGAGCCAAAGATAATGGATGACTTTGCTGCAGTTGGAACGCTAAAATCAATTCCGTCGAGAGAAAGACTAACGAAGCTTACGAGTTTCTGGAAATTTCGAGCAAAAAGTCGAACTTGCTTTCTGCATGCGTGTTTATGCTCCTCACTCCGTTCATACCAGTACCTATTTTACAGGTGATAAGCGAATTAGTTAAATCAATAGACTGTATCAGTCATCTCAAAACCTGGGTCGACCCTAATAATAGTCCTCAACAAAATTTCAGCATTACAGATGCTTAACCAGCTTCCATAAACTCCCACATATGCTGTGTACCAGCAGGCGGATATATGGCTCCATAGTTCATTCAATTCTATTATATGGCTTTTATATATAATCATCAACGGTAAGACGTCTACATCTACCACGAGTATTTAGTCACAAGTATAGTAATAAAACCATCAGGTAAATTATATCTAGTGCAAATTTTTAGACAAATGGACTGTAAATTAAGTAAAAGTTCAGAACCTCGCTTCCTTAGTTCAAGCAACTAAGTCATAACTAACTTTCGAACAAAGTGTGATTCAAAGATAAATATACGGACCTGGACGTATTCGCTGAACAACGTCGCTATTAGATGAGCTGATCAGATTAAGAATCCATATACCAAGGTGGGCCATGTCAGTCACACCATACATAAAAATTCGCCACCTACTCCGAGCCATGATATTGGCTTAAGTAGAACTATTATTAAAGAAAACCCTGTACTTGAGTTAGCACGTGGTCGCACATAGTTTTCCAAGATTGTGGTAGCTGGTAACTCTATTTCTCATAGTTTCTATTTCAATTGTTTGCCATATTTTCGATTCTATGCTCCTCATTTCGATTTCCTCTCACTGTGCTGATATATAGTGTGGAATCGTGGACCTATATACCTTTCTAAGGTATCGAGTTGGAGTCAAGCAAAAGCCTCAGTCATCCTAATGGGTTTTGTTACGTTTCCCTTTATCTACAATTTCCAACTTGGTTTGACAATGAACAGCAAGAATGAATTTAGATTGAGAGTGTACAGAAGTAAGAACACAACCGTTTGTATAAGAAAGGAGGTGCTAACTTCTAACATGTATATTATTGGTTGCGATAAAAATGTCTCAATCATTTCTAAATGTCAACGAGCACTGGTTGATTAAAAGGTCATCCTCTCACTAGACACATGAAGTCCATTAGTTAAAAACTGATCTTCCTAACATGTTACACGTAAGAAGTAAGGTTTGTCACCTCTTGAAATTAGTATGTATTATTTGGAAAACTAAACAGTGAGAATTACTTAATAACATCTAAAAGTCGCGGGGAGACATAATATACTGGCGTGTCGCTATCTGAAAGTTATTTATATTACATCCATGAAAAATCAGATCTATCAGTCTGTACGTTGGTGAATGATTTCATTCACTTAAAGCAGTTTCAAATTTTTCTTACTAAAAGTAGGAAAGTGGTTAGTTTATATCCAGTTTTTCATTCCTTAATACAAGTAATAAAGAAGGTTTCTAATTGTAAATGAATGTCAAAGTTATGGTAGTTATTGCCACGGGACAAATTGTCAGTTATTCACTAGTTTAGTGGTTTAGCAGAGACTTCTTTAATGTTATTAACGTATTTCAGATCTTTCTTAAATATAGTCTCATGCAATAGGCCCCCACTAACCACGATGATATCTATTTTGTGCAGTAAACGTGGATACATTCACTTTTCTAATTACTTTGTTAATTCTTTAACATCCGTTTGAGATGAATTGCTTGTTTGTCTTACCATATTTAGATTGTAAATGCTTTTTAAACTACCATATATCTGTGGTTAGAGTAAAAATTATTTTTAATGGTAATAATTGTAATAGTAGCCTGATATTCATTCTTCGATAATTTCATAGCATTCATCTATGATTGGTTAATAAAATAGTATATTTTTATGTATTATCTGATTGACTTTGACTGAAACATTTCTACCTATCAAATGTGTTGTCAAATTTATGTCTAGCCACATACTAAAAACATTATTAGAATGTAGAAAGAAAATTTTCGTTTTATCTAAGTTTTATTAAAAAAACCTAATTATTATCGAAGTTCATATAATTCCTGTCTCATGTTTGCTAGCTTACGTCGTATATTTTTACGTCATTGTCATCATCTGTTTCGTTTTTCGCAGCTTATGGATTGTTCTCAAAACTTTCTGTTATTCATTTATCTTTCTTAGAAAGGGATTTATTTTATCGTCTTCTAATTGATAGAGAATTTGACTTCAAATTTAATTTGATTAGTTTTAAAAAATTTCAATGACTATTAAATAAAACACTACTGGTGTTTTAAATTGAGATTTTATTGTAGTTGCAAATCACCAATATTGTGTTGTCATATCAAGTGGTTTTATCTTTCTAAATTGTTTCTTTTTAGTTGTTTAAATGTCAATTGTGTTTCTGATGCATACATGCATACCTTCAATGAATTGTATAGTTGAAAATGATCTCGTGTACAACGAATGTCTGCTAATGGTTTATGAAACATGTATTAATCCATCAATATTTAGTACATAGTTTGAAAAATATATATAGAATATACTGTACAGTAAACTATTATAATACTCGAGTGATTTACCTGTATGCTTCTTATTGTTAATTTATCCAGTTCATCATCGTTTCTTTCTCAAATCACGGTGTATAACTATTTTTCCAATTGTATACTATCAACAATTCGGAGATTACGTCTGTTGAACACTAAATATCAATCTATAGCATTCACGTTGTATTTTACTGTTGAAATTATTTCCTTTACATTATTTTTACTAATTTCGGTAAGTTATGTATTTATTATTTTAATCATAAGTAGTAGTAGTTTTTTTTCTATGACATTTTACAATGTACTTGTTATTGACCAATAATTTTAAGTGGAAAAAACCCATTTCTCTGTAGAACTGATTAGTTTAAAGCGAAATAAGTGAAAAAAGAAAAATTAAACACAGCTATCTGCTTGTAATAGTAAACGATATTGGTGAAATACCAAAGTGTTTCATGTCGAAAATCCTGGTTATTAAATTTTGACTCGTTTCCCGAATAATGTGGCGTGGTCATAATGGTGATAATAATAATATAGCTTTAGGATGATAACAAAATTTGAGCCGCTTTACAGACATAATCAGGTTGATACAGAATGCGAGAAAACATTAATGTAATTAAAGTTGCATAACTACAATATATTATATGTTTTAGAATGTTAGATGCCACATTTTTGTCTTAGAAAATAAGCACTTCAATCACTAAAGTTCAATTTGGTTTTTTCCGTACTGCTTTCGTGATCACTATAAAATGGCTTCCATTCTTGCTGTTTGTAGCTCATTTAAGTTTTATATAAATCTAGAAAAGAAAATAAGAATTTTTTCATTTCATTACCTGTTAGATTATATACTGTATTTTGTAGAGAACAATAAATCTGTATTAAAATCGATATCAACTTCCATTTTGACTGTCTAGTAACCAACAGCCTGAAGAAGCATATGCCTCCTAGTCAAAGTTTATTTTCACCATGTACATAAAAGCACATTTTTAACATAGTTTCTCAAGGATGATAGAAAAGCAGCCAAGATTTCGACACGTAAGCATTAATAAACCTTGATCATTCAACTAAGCCACATACTGACTTAAAGATAGTGTATAAGACTTGTCCTACCGTTTTATAATTTCTTAATTCCCAGCTAGTTAAAACAGCAATAGCTAAAAATGTCCTTGAGGAAACGTCTGACCCCTATGTACTGACAAAATATGTCCTGCCTTTCATTTTTATATCGACCTTTATATTATTTTAATTTCATATTCCCTTTTCTTCAGTCAATTTTCGTATTCGTTTGACTTTTTTCATTTTGATCCTTAACATCTTGATTTTTTTGATAAAACAGAAATATTTAATTTGATTAGTTTATCCTATCCACAGTATGATCCATTGTTGGTTTCCTACTTTTAAACCCTCCGTAATTACGTATATCTCGTAGATATTACCCAGCCCCTATTATTATAATTTGCATTATGCTACTCAACGTCACTACCCTAATTGCTGGATTATCGTGTTTATTCTCTGTTTACACTTCCTCATAGAACCAACACTTCGAGTCTCTCTCTCTCTCTCTCTCTCTCTATATATATATATATATATATATATATATATATATATATAATCAGCATGTTTGCGGAATATATGCATACGTATATAGATGAATCGTATAAATAAATATGTACTTATATATATATGTAAAAAAATCCTGACCTAATTTTGGTTGGATTTTCTAGGTTTCATTAATGCACTTACAGTTTACAAACAATGTTATTTGGTGCAATAGTATTAACAAATGCTAGAAAAAATAAATTATTCTTTTCTCTATGGAAAAATAACTCGAAATGCATATCGTGGTAGAAAAAAATATGGTGATTGACATTCATCGATATGATACAAAATCGTCATTCTTGTGGACTGTCGTCCCAATTTCAAATTCTTACTGTTATTTCTAATTAGTGATTGAATTGTAAGTGGCTACTACAATGGATGATAATGATGACCAGTCAATTTTCCAAAGGGTTAGTGATTAGTTGATTGATTATGAGGGTGTATTTATTTTTTCTGGATAGAGTTTTCTTTTTACTATTTTGTAATTTTGTATCGATCTGGTGAATACATTTTATTGATATTGTTGTTAATTATTACTACGGTTGAGTTTCAGATTCTAATTAATTAAAGAGTTTTGTTTGTAATGAAGTACCATACCATGAAAGTTTACTTAGATGTTTATAGCAACTTATAACACTTATTTACGATTAAAACGTCTAGCTGTAATTCTTAAACAGTTATGGTTTTTAGGTTTAGTCAATTCGTCGCTGGTGTTTGACAGATTCTTCACTTTACTAGTAGAACTTAGAAAATCCTATGTTTTATTAGGACAGTAATTAGTAGTGACTTTACCACCCAAATATTTGATTTGTGACGTTCGTAACTTGGGGATTATTAAAATAAGATAATACAACTCTCTGTAGTCTTCATCAGTTTTCAACCATTCTTCATTTCACCAACGAAATGATTTCTACTAACATGATATTCATATGATCGTAATTACTGAAAATCAAATTCATATAGCATGTCACAAATGCGATATGGTAAAGTTTATCATGAAGTTTCTCCAAAAACTCACCAAGTAATCTTCTGATCCATTATATATTCACCTGATACTGAAGCACAGAGACTTAAGTCATAACTCTAAAGAAGAAATCTCACAAATAATGGCATAAGTTGATGTGCAGTTACGGTATTCTAGTATGTATCATACAATAATTATAACCACTAAAAATAAAAATTAAATTCAGTAACATCGTGAAGGTATATTGGCGAGTTATGCATGAATTTTATTGAAAATGCTCCCGTGAGAAATAATGATAGTAATCAATCCTTATTGATTCCAGACATATAACTGTGTAGTAACTTTTTTTTGCCAAGTACACGTCTGTTAATTCAATTAGGAGCTACACTATTTGTCGCATAATGATAGTACACGGTTACCCGAAACGACGTTGGCGAAATCGGGGTTCAAAACACCAACCTATTGGTTAAAAAAAGTGATGTTTCATCTATTAAACGACTGCTTTAAACTTACGGTAATATAATGTCTTTATTGTCTAGACTACGAATCTTTAGACTGATCGATTTTTTAATCTAAATTGAAATATTTATAATGAGTTTTAACTTGATCTCGAAAAATTTCCCCATTCAGTGCTTCATTATCAAATAAAGAATAACTCAATCAAGACTTTCATTTTCTTGGAAACAATATCAGTTAGAAATGTTCTCTTCATAAATCATTCACTATAAAAATATGTATACATTTAAATAAAAAGAGATTTCAGGAAAAGAAGTCGAAATTTTTAGTAATATGGTCATAATTTTCATTTACTTTGTTCATTTCCTACTGCTAGTTTCATAAAATATATATATTCACATAAAGTTTCAGTGTGTAAGCTGATTAAGTATATCTATTTCTACTTTAATAGATTTTACTTCATTTTATGTGTTACTTATTACATTTATATTCTTTCCATAACCATTTTACCTATCATGTGTTGTTTATTTGTTTTTCTTTATTATAATATTTTTTTATCCATTTCACAATTTCGTCTTAAACTCGAAAATTGTCCTCTCTTTTTTCTCTATTAATAATTACAGTTTCTTAACATAAACACATAATCTCAACTGTGTAATTTGTCTAAAGTAGGATTTAATACATGTGATTGTAGTTTGTGAATTTGTCAAGGTAGATTTTTCCCAGATTAAGTGTTGACGAATTTACAAGATTATCGTCATTTAGACAAAAAATGTTTTATTGTGTTCATTTTGTTTTTTCTTCGAAGGTATATTGAGATTTATCAAATCATTTATAGCTTACTGAAATAAGTTTATTACTGCTTCACATAACTTAAGCTCTGTTAAGAAGCCAAGTCTGTAAATATCTGCGTTTAAAGAAACGTATAAGTTGGGCATAGAATGTCCTTAAGTGAACTGTACTATGTCTCCAAATGTTCGACCGAGAGTGGGGAGAGTCAGCTATCCTTCTCGAAATGCTCTGACATGGCCACGTGTATACAGCCACTGCCAGGGAAGTCCTACTCACTGCCTTCTCGTGGCGGGTGTGTTGTTTACGAAGTTGAGAGGACGAAAAGCGAATGTCCGGCGCTTTAACTGGGTTGGTTGATACGGAGGATCTACCTAGGTGAGCTGGAAAACCCTGATTTCAAACCAATGGTGCACATGAGCTCCGGGATCCTAAGGTAACAAATGACGAATGGACTTATTTTTGGTCACCGGCTACCACGGGACTGCATCCCCCAACGTTGCTCCACTGCCTTGTGGGTTAGACCCCTAGATCAAATGCTCAGGGTGTGGCCCTCTAAGAAAACCACCTGTTGCGGTTTGGGCACCCGGACAGTATCCCAGCCCTCACATAAGTCGAACGATTTATGTGGTACATATATATTTGATGTCTCCTTGTACCAATGTTTATGTGTTTAAATAAATAAAAATAGAAATGTACTACAGTTTATTTCACATGTAACTATCTTTGAGTGTTATAGACTATATGATGTGACTAGAAACAGGCATAATAATGTATTTTTAAAGACTAGATTATATTTGACGCATTTCACATTATGTGCTATTGATTGAATAACTTGTTTCAATTGTATGTTTATCATTAGTTGACTTCAACTTTAATTGTTTGTTTGATTTCTACACAGTTATTCTGGTGTATCTATCAGAAACGATGTCATGATTCTTCTGGGCAAAAGGAATCTGAACTTACAGTGGATACAGAAAAAATAATACATGTAGACAAATCTTCTACGATACAAAAAGATTATGCTTCATTAACTAATGCTGAAAATTTAGACAACCTTACCAATAATAAAACTTCGCTGCTTGGACTTTTAAAATTTTGCGGCATTTCTACTGATTGTTGCCCAATACTTCAATTGCATACAAAAACTCCTGACAATGTTGTTCGGTTGAATTCACAATATGGTACAAACTCATTGCATGGTACTGTTGATTCAGTTCAAGAATCTAAGGATTTGGAATCTGTTATAAAAAAGTCTCCCGTATCACTTTCTCCATCAATCGCTAATCGTCGATATCAGACACCTTCTCCACATTTACTTACTTCTTCATTCATGGCAACCAGTCCACCAGTTGAAACTCAGTTGTATCATATTCAACCTAAAGAATTTGTATTCACTCAGGCATGTAAACCAATGCCTAGTTCACTTATGTTACAGAATAATAGTTTGGGTGCTTTCACACTTACTCCAACACAACTTTTGCACAATCCACTCATATTAAATACATCAGCTGATGTTTTACATTCGCATTGTACACCGTGCGAATCACAATCTGCACCATGTAGTCAAACTTTAATCACAACGCAACCGTTACCTTTATTAAATTTACCCTATAGTCATGTTACCTGTCCCAATTCAGATACAGTTACTCAGGAATTGAATCAGTCGTCATGCACTAACACTACTAGTTGTACTGGTGGTAGTACACAAGTCCCGAAAACCTATCCAGGCATTGGATTCACTGCGAGTCGTCGAGCGCGATCCAAAGGTCTTTTGGAAAGGTATATAGGTTTTGTTAAACCTTATCAGTATACGAGACATTTTGTGATTGTTATTCCCATTGAATAAAATAATATAGAGTCCGTTTAGCTAAGTTGACGGACCTTATTTTACCTACACTGAGCTGAGAAGTCAGCTAGTGTTATTAGTCATTACACAGTAATGTTGATATAAACCTAGTAACTATTCCGTTACAGTTCAATAAACAGATTGAAAATACTTTTGCTAGTTGTAAAAAGTTTTTTTCTTTAGTTCGTGTAGTTGGAAACCAACCAGTTAAATGTTTAATAAAAGTATATTACTATGGTAGTTACTTTATAGGATACAATATTTATGGATGAGGCTGTAAATTTCCGACGATTGAGGCGGCTGAGACATGTGTTATAGATTCTCAACCAAAATCTTCGTCGACGAACAAATGCTGTGTGGAGAACAAGTAGAGATGGCCAAACTATAAAACGTTGCATCCATGCATGAGAATACTGACTGTTAGAATTAACCGTTTTGATACGTGGAGACTACTTGGTTATGAAGTCCAAGCGATTAGCGTGATCAGTGGTTTAAGAAGTTAGGTGACATCACCTAGAATTAGTTACAATGACTCAGTTGCATTCACCCTTTACCTCCTACTGAATTTTCAGTTCCAATGTTCTTTCATACATACCTTATATCCAAACCATATCTTCAATGTTTAGTCCTTTTCATCTTTAACACTACTTACTGGTGTTTCGATTCCTTCAATATAATTCTTGCCAATCTCATCTCATGCTGATTCGGTACGGTGACGTGAGCTAATGCACATTTTCTTCACTAGAGTTTATATTAATTATGACTTACTGATATTTCTCGGTTTCTATGGAAATCTCGAGAAGAATATCGAATAATTGTTTAGTTACACTTGAACAACTTGATAGACAAAAACTTTCAGGCTTTATAATATCCAGGCTGTATAGAATAACTAGGATAGATAAGTCTCGAATACCCATTGGTTCTATTCTGGACATAGCTGGATTGTATATAGCTCAGCTGCAAAAGTAAGTAACTCAACCGCTTGAATCAATTTGATAATATGCTTGGTAATGATAATCCCGCTTACTATGTTTAACCTAATGACTGTGTAATTTATGTTTCATTATATATATATATATATATATATATATATATATATATATATATATATATATATATATATATATATATAT